CCACCTGGGGGAGATACGTAAGACCCCAGGGGGAATGGGTATCGTATGGGTCCGCTGCCCCCTTAGGACAGCGAACATAATAATGCGAACGGCCCAAATTAAGATAGGGTGGGCACTCGTGCGCGTGGAGTTATTGGAGGCAAGACCTCTCCAATGCTTCAAGTGCTTGGAGGGGGGACATGTGCGCGCACGGTGCCCCAATAACATCGACCGCAGCGGTAAATGTTACCGTTGCGGCGAAGAGGGACATGCAGCTAAAAGCTGCACAGCGGCAGTTAAATGCCCGGTGTGCACAGATAAAGGGCTGCCTGCAAATCACAGAACAGGCAGCAAAGCGTGCACGCCAGTACACAAGAGGAAAAGGGGGGTCCCCCTAAATAAGGCGACAAACCCCCCTGCCTACAACCAAAGCATCTGCCAAACAGGCAGAAAAGAAGAAAAATCAACAGGAGAAGGAAGCCCCCCTCTCTGGAAACCTTATGGATGTTGAGGAACCCAAAGAGCAAAGGGCTCCTAAAACAAGAGGGGAAATGCTCCCAGCAGAAGGCGACGCCAAAAGAAAGCGTCTGAAAATAAATATTATGGACAAAGATCCCGCCGCCATGGAGGCGGAGGGACCTGAGGGAACATACACGGAAGAAGATGACGTGTGTTACGTCCAACAATTCACCTGGCGGTAAGTTGCCTTCTGCACAAATCGGTCTTCTCTCGCGTCTACCTCGGTTAAACGTTTGAGAAGCTGCTCTCTATTTTTATGGGCAACCTGCTAGGCCGGCTATACCCAGGGATGCCGAGAGCTTGAGATTCGGTTGAGAGTATCGGACAGAGAAGGAAACTGACGGGTCGGGTTGATAAATAAAGTTAATTTGTTAGTATAATATCGTTTATTTATTTATAAAACCTTCTCGTTGATATAAAGGTTATAGGTCTTGACGTGGTTCGTGGGGAACTTGAAATCGAGTTATAATATTGCTAAGTTCCTCTTCCGGATTGTCAGACTGATTAAGGTAAGTAATAAAAGATGCGAAGTTGTCCCGAGCTCCTTCGGGGATGAAATCGCGAGTGTCGTTGAATGTGAGGTTAGCGGTGTCCTCGTCGAAAATGTGGAGGTCTTGTTCGTTATGAGGTTGTAGAATGGGATCGTATGATGATACGATATGTTGGCTTAGATCCGGAATATAATATTCGGGATCGGGTAAGAAATTATGATTCGTATTTGATTCTGAATGTGACGGATCCGGAAATCGCGGATGAGAATAATCAATGTAAGGCGGAAAATTATTTATGGGCGAATAAACGTCTGGAGAAGGGGATCGAACGATTATTCGCGTTGGAAAGATCTGGACATGTAAATTAAGGGGCCTTCTTGTCCTACGTTCGCGTAGTCTATGGAGACGTTGCTCGTCGCGATCAATTTGATTCCTCCTTCGGAAGGGAGAGACCATCTAATGGTTGGATAATTTTATATGAATAATATGCATTATTCATCAAAGAATATTTTATAATGTAAAATAATTGAATTAGACTCACGTTTATATCGTGATTTACTCGTTAACGAGATCAAAATGAGATGAAAGGTTAATCTATGCTAGGATGCCCTTCACCTGTTAATTAATTAAGCCTTGTGTCAATTGTTGTTACAATTAAATGATATTAAACTGGAATTGATAATAAGGTAAAAAGAAAAAAGATTCTGAATGCGTATTAATATCTATATCAAGAATATTAATATTTGTAGTTTCAAACATAAATAACTAAAATCTTAAATATTGAAGTAATAATTCTTAATAATTATCAAGACCTCTGTCATTCGGTTTGGTAAAGTAATTCGTTTGGTTTATAGAGCGGTGAGAGAGTAAGCTGGGAAGGGTAAGAAGTACACGGTTATCCCGTGTGAATTCTGGTCCTTAAAGGCTAACGCGTACGTTCACTTTACTAAACGTGCATCTCAGAATTGTAGCAACGAATTTACCTTATGACAGAGTATCGTTCTATTAGTAGTAAATAGGATAAGGTGGTGTACACTTGTCAAAACGAATCGAATATCAATATGCAAAATCACTGCCAGTTGGTGTAGTAAAGTATTCGCAACTATTGGAAAGTGCAAGGTAATAAAAGCGTAAAAGCGATAGAGAGATAGGTGTTCATCCGGCTAGGCCGGGTTCTCAGGTCCTTGTCTTAATAGGCTAATGCATACGTTTACTTTACTAAACGTGCACCTCTGAGATGACTTGCGAATGTACCTTCTGACAGGATATAATTTCTAATGTGTACTGTGGAATTAGCGTTTTGCTAATAGGTGGTAGGATACAGGGTTACATACATATATAATTAAGCAGTAATATAATAAAATACATTAATATATATATTTATAATGCAAGTACAATAGGTTAAATAAGTATGCGATATTGGTTAAATAATATTAAGTAGTATCGAATAAAATATAATATATGTCAACGATTGCAACGTAGACGTGTGCGGATGCAATTAATAAATTGAAATAATATTAGGAATACAGAGTAATATATGGCTTACGTCTATATTCAAGATTCAGAGTTCAGAGTGTAATGTAAGATTGAATTAAAATTAATTGGTTAAATATAATTGGTTAAATATAATGAGTGTCCGCGCTTTACTATTTAGGGATATGTGAACTGGCTTAAATACTCACAAGGTTAGACAATGTCTTATGTGCCTTGCTGTGGTACATTTCGCTACTGTGTTCTTCCCTCTGAGTCTGGAGATCTGAGGAGCCTCGGTACCTCGGTCCGAAATGACGGCTATGTCTCGTTGTCTTCAGGACTCCGTAGTAATAGCTGGTTGGTTGACTGCAGTTGGAAGTACTGAACTTGACGACTTTCGGTGGATCACTGCCGTTCCGTGCCGGGAGCAGGGTTTATATACCGTAAAATGTGGCTCGCTCCTCCCATCGGTCGATGCGGCCTAGCCAATGGCAAGTGAGATGTGCTGGGAAGTACCGGAGATAATTTGTTCTCAATAGAGATTGTGTCGGGTAAGTCCCGGAGAGATAGCTTCTTAGTAGCGATAGCGGTGTTCCTAGGTGACTCATCGCTAACGGTTTCCAATCGTCTTTTATTCTCAGTAGCGATAGCGGTGCTCCTTTACTGACTTATCGTTATGCGCTCCGACTTTTCTTATTGTATTCTCAGTAGCGATAGCGGTGCTTCTTTAGTGACTCATCGCTATGCGGCCTGCAACGGGCCTTCTTTATTCTGGTAGTGATATTCTTGACGGTCTTCTGTAATCGATTTGCAGGTGGCAACGTGTTTCAGCATTGCATCACGCTATCGTTCTAGAGCCTTCTAGAATCTTCTGGATGTTTCCTTGCGAGTAAAGTCGAGTTCACATAGTAAAGCAGCTTTCATACATAATTATTTAATTATTTAGTATACTTCTTTATAAGCGTATATATATATATATATATTTTCAGGTATTACCGTTTTAATAAGGCGGGTTTCATACATGCACTGAGAGAAAATAATAGTATTCTTCTCTTAGTGTAGTGGCTCCTTTGGGCGTATGATGGATATAATATTATTTTGCGCTATGTATATGATCTTCGGGTCTTATAATTATAAGTAAATGTATTTATAAGAAGTTTTGTGTGTTAATATATATATATATATATATATATCGTGTACATATTTAAAATTTAATACTATTGAATAATACATATTTAATATTAGTAAAATGAATATTATATTGTAATAGCCAATCTGTATAATTAATCGAAATTTATTCAAAAATAAGTAATTACTATTCATTTAAGTCGTTCAAATATTTGTAATGAAAAAAAAGAGAAAAAAAAGAAATAATTGTATTATATGTCAAATATTTTATCTTATACTGTCATTAAAATGCCAGAGAATACTATATGTCTTATACAGTCATTGAAATCGCCAGAGAATACTATATGTCTTATACAGTCATTGAAATCGCCAGAGAATATATATAGTGTCGTCAAAGTATACGATTGACATATATATATATATATCTGTTTCCCTTGTATATACGTTTAAATATGCAATTCCTATATGTATATACATAAGTCTTCCAGGACTGTCCGGAAACTGCCATTTGACATATAATTCTTCCAGGTCAGGTCCGGAAAGCCTGCAAATATCTCGGAATATGTCAATAAGTGTCGGGAAGTGTCTCGGAACAAACCCTTTGACATTATATATATATATATCCGTATGTATATACATATATACGTTCTTAACCTTATTTTAGGTTTTCTCACAAATAATCAATGAGGATTTTTCTTATTAAACTAAATATATTATATTTATATTATATTATATTATACCATATTTAGTTAGTATTATAGATGTTGTTTTTATATTGTTTTTTGTGAGAAGACATGTCTTAGCCTACGAGTGGTTATATTTGTGATTAAATATTCGTTAATACCGGTCTTTCATGCAAGTTAGAGATTGTCATGACTAATAGGTTAAAAAATTAATGATTGAAGAAGATTGAAATTTTGAAAATTGTCTGGACGTTACACGTGTAAAGTGCTCCAAGGCAATGTTAACCATTCAGTGCCGGCCCAGGACCTCTTCGTTCAGAATCTGATGGAGAGGGACTGCGGCTTGGGGATCGTGGCCGAGCCGCACCATATCCCAGACAACAACTGCGCAAGTAGCAGTAACGGCTTGGCCGCGATCGCCCACAGAAGCGCGTCAAACTCTCCCCCGATGGAACCATTAAAGTCGGGGAAGGGTATGGTCACGGTCAGATGGGGGTCCATCATCGTTATTGGCGTGTATCTCCCGCCGAGTCTCAGCAAGGGGGACTTCTGCGGGAGATTGCACGCCATTGAGGGACAGCTGAAAGAGTACCACCCGCCCCGGTAGTCATCGCGGGGGACTTCAACGCCAAATCGAGCGTTTGGGGTTCCCCGCGGGATGATTGGCGCGGTGGTCAGACATTAGACTGGGCGGCGCGGTGTGGCCTTCTCCCTGTAACAGGGGAAAATGGCCACATGCGTTAGGAGGCAGGGGGAGTCGTTCGTCGACCTGACATGGGTCACTCCCTCTGCCTCGAGGCTGGTAAGCGGGTGGAGGGTACTGGCGGAGATCGAAACCATATCTGACCACAGATATGTGGAATTCTCCGTCGGTGCCTTCCCCCGCGAAGTGATCGAGCGCCGCCGAAACAGGGAGGCTGTCTCTCAAAGATGGGCCCTTAGGAAGCTAGACCAAGACGCGTTTCTGGCCGCAGTCGAGGCGGCCCTGATGGTTAGAGGAGAGGAAAGTAGGGGGGACCAGGAAGGAGAAAGGGCATGGCTGCACAAGACAATAATCAATGCTTGCGACGCGGCCATGCCCAGAATAAAGAGAAGGTCCCCCTGAAAGACATACTGGTTCCGGAGCGGGACTGGTGTGGGACGAGGAGGCCATGGGGGTCACGGAGAGAGAGCTCCGGAACGCCATCAAAAAGATAAAATCTGGGAAAGCCCCCGGTCCTGATGGCGTTCACGGGAGAATCTGGGCTCTCGCCTATCGGGGTCTCGCAGAGCCCATGCGGAGGATGTACAACGAGTGCCTCCGCATGGGCTCCTTCCCACAAGAATGGAAGGAGGCAAATATAGTCCTCCTTCCAAAGGAGGGTAAGCCGAGGATGTACCCTCGGCGTATAGGCCAATCTGCCTAATAGACAAGGCGGGCAAGATCCTAGAAAGGATCATAGCCGATCGCCTTGTCTATCATTTGTCCTGGGAAGGTCCAAACCTGAGCCAGGAGCAATACGGCTTTCGGGTCGGACGGTCCACGATAGATGCGATTCTTCGGGTCCGTTCAATTTCGGAAGCCGTAACGGAGGAGGGCGGGGTGTTGCTTGCTGTGTCCTTGGACATCTCGAATGCATTCAACACTCTGCCATGGCACCGGATTGGGGCGGCCCTGGAGTATCACCGGGTCCCCCCATATCTGGTGTCGATCCTGGCGGACTATTTCCGGGACAGGCGATTGGCCTATACCGATAGGAACGCCGAAGAACAGAAGCGTCAGATGACGTGCGGGGTTTCGCAGGGTCGGTACTTGGCCCCCTGCTGTGGAACCTCGCATACGACGCTGTTCTTCGGCAAACCCTCCCCCCGGGCTGTCACACGGTGTGTTATGCTGACGACACACTGGTGATGGCCGGGGCGACTCGTGGGAAGATGCGATCGCTCGGGCGAACATTGCAGTGCACCGCGTTGTGCGGCTCGTGAAGCGGATGGGGCTCAAAGTGGCGCCTCAAAAAACCGAGGCCATCTTTTTGCACGATGGCTCTCGTGGGGCGCCACCAAAAACCCACATCTGCGTGGAGGACACCTCGATAGAGGTGGGGGCCTGCCTAAAGTACCTGGGCCTCCACCTCGACAGTAAGTGGGCCTTTCGGGAACACTTCCGCCGTATTTCCCCCAGAGTAAAAAAGACAGCGATGGCGCTGCAGCGCCTGCTGCCCAACCTTGGGGGACCCGGCGGGAGTGTCCGAAAGCTGTACGCCGGAACCGTCCATGCCATGCTCCTGTACGGGGCACCGGTATGGGTAAAATGCCTGGAGGCCACCCGCGGCCCAAGAGATGCCTTGAGGCAGCTACAAAAGCGGGTGGCCAATAGGATATGCCGGGGCTACCGTACAGTGAGCTGGGTAGCCGTGGGGGTACTCTCCGGAGTGCCCCCTGTGGAGATGCTCGCCCGCATGTACACAGATGTGTACACGCGTACACGCGAATACCAGCGGGCGGGCATCATAGTAACAGACGGAGTCCGGCGTGCAGTGAGGGTCCACTCCCGACGGGCGCTGATCCAGAAATGGAGGAACAGCCTCGAAGATCCGAGGCTGCCAGGACAGCGCACCGTCGGGGCTATACGACCCTGTCTAGAGAACTGGCTAAACAGGGTCAAAGGAGGGGTGTCCTTCCACACGACGCAGGTACTCACCGGACATGGTTGCTTTGGTGAGTACCTGCACAGAATAGGAAAGGAGCGCACAACGCGGTGCTATCACTGCGGCCACGAGCGTGACACCGCCCAGCACACACTCGAAGAGTGTGTTGCCTGGGCGGGTGAGAGAGAGGGGCTCGTGGCCGCAGTGGGGAGAGATCTGTCATTGCCCTCAGTAGTGAGCTGGGAACATTTAGGTCCCGGCCCCCCCCCCCGGTGTCCTCATCCTGCATCGAAGACTGCGGGAGAGTGTGGGGTGAACCCCCCCCGATCCCCACCACCACTAGTGAGCAAGCTCACCGGCGGCGGGGAAAGAGAGGGCCCCCCCTGTCCTCCGTGCTGCTGCTTCCTTCTTCCCTCCTTCTTTTCCTGAGGGCGTATCCCCCCGGCCCCCACCCCCGTCAGCGGGCAAGCCCACTGACGGCGGCGGGGGAAGGGAGGGCACGCTCCCCTCCGGGGGGGGGCTGGGAACATTTAGGTCCCCCCCCCCCGATGACTTCTCGAGAATCGGGGGCGCGGGCGTGCCGCCTCGCTTAGGCGGGGTTGGAGCGGTCGCGCCCCGAAAGGGCAACCCCTCGGTTGCGGTCGAATCTCAACTCCCAAGGGAGCGGAGGAAACCGCAGCCGGGGCGTCGAGAGGGGGCCACGTGTCGCTGGCGGGTGGGCATCGCCCTTCCGCCGGGGGCGCCTGGGTCCCCCTCAAGGACGGAGACGTGACGCGTGGGGCCCTCTCACCGGGAGCCATATGGCACCGGGGGGAGGGCAACACCGTCCACGGAAGAGGGTTCCTCCCCTTCTGAGAGGTACCCCTTGGTGAGGGCTTCCCCAGTAGAACGCTGATCCGGATCACCCTTTAGGGGATCCGGGGGTCGCGACTCCTGGGGGGCGGGGGGCGATGGCTCGAGCGGAAGCTCTCGAGCCATGGCCCCGCCCCCCAAACTCTTTGGGAGGGCGCGGCGTGGGGCAGGTGTTCGCCCCGCGCCGCAACCGCGAGGGAACGGCACAGTCATTGACTGTGCGGTCGGGGAGAGGTCTCGGCCGCAAGGTCGAGGCAGCTCCCCGGAGACGGCTTGGCGGGGGGACGGCGAGACGGCATGGGATCCAGCATCCTCGCCGTCCCCTATCCAACGCCCGAAAAGAACACCCGCTGGGGTTTTAGTGAGGTAGGTCTTGGGCCCCCTGGTTGAACCATTCGTGGCTCGATCAAGGGGAACAAGGAGTCCCACATAACCTGCACCCCTATCCGAGAGTGCGCGGTACCATGACGGTTTCCCCAGCGTTACAAAAAAAAAAAAAAAAAGACAAAGGCGCGCGGTTTCCACTTGCCGTTCCAATGTTAAATTCACAGATCTACGTAGACGATTGCGTTTTCGGAGCCGACAATAAAAATGCAGCTCGTGAGATGCGCAACCAATTAATTGCACTATTAGATAAAGGCGGTTTTCGGCTGCGGAAGTGGGTAAGCAATTGTACCGATTTAGTAGCTGATATCGACCCGTCGGATCACGGTCTCGCTCAGCAAAAATTATTAACCGGAGACGAGCAACTTAAAGTTCTCGGAATAGCATGGAATCCTACGCCGGACGTGTTTTATTTCCACGTGTCTCTCGGCCAGAGCCTCGATAAGACAAAACGCTCGATTCTATTGACAATCGCCAAACTGTTCGATCCGTTAGGCTGGGTGGCACTCGTCATTATCACTGCCAAAATATTTATGCAGCAATTGTGGCTGCTTAAATGCCAATGGAACGACGAGATACCAGCCGATTACCTCTCGCAGTGGCGACATTATCATGAGAGACTCCAGTCTCTCAACCGTCTGGAAATTCCTCGCTGGACGGCGCATGGAGCTAACACGATACATCGCGAACTGCACGGCTTTTCGGACGCTTTGACTAAAGCGTACGCCGCGTCGGTCTATCTTCGCACACTTTCCGCCGACGGGTCCGTCACTATTACGCTTCTCATGGCAAAAGCGAAAGTAGCTCCGCTAAAAACCATAAGCGTGCCGCGCCTCGAACTATCAGCCGCGCTATTGCTCGCTCGACTGCTAAAATTCGTGCAATTGACGCTTAATTTTGCCAATGTTGATTGTGTTTGTTGGACAGATTCAACAATCACTTTGACGTGGATTAGTCAATCTCCAGCACGCTGGAAAACTTTTGTCGCGAATCGCGTCTCCGCAGTTCAATCATTACTGCCCTGTGCAAAGTGGCGGTATGTCCCGACCGAAGCTAACCCTGCCGATTGTGCGTCTCGCGGCTTAGCACCCGATGAAATCGAACAGCATCCGCTATGGTGGACCGGGCCATCTTGGCTCTCACAATCGCCTGATCATTGGCCTTCCATGCCGTCCTCCCTCAATCATGCCGATACATCCGTCGAGGAGCGTAATCTTCAATCAATTTGTATCGCCGGTGTCGTGGAACAGTGGGATCTCGCGACTCGCTTTTCGTCCTGGCACACCCTCGTGCGCGTTACTGCTTACGTGCTCCGTTTTGTTAAAGCAGCGCGGCAGCCTAATCGCTTATTGCAACGCGACAACCCTTTATCGGTCGTTCTCGACGCAGACGAAATCCGAGCCGCGAAGCAGTATTGGATCAAAACATTACAAGCCGAAATGTTCCCGGAACAGGCAACGCGCTTAACTAATCAACGCCCAGTATCAAAATCCAGCTCTCTTTCCGGACTCAATTCATATGTCGATGCCACCGGAATTATTCGAGTCGGTGGTCGATTGCGGCATTCCAGCTTTCCCGAAACAAGAAAACACCCAATCATTTTCCGGTCCCATCCCGTCCTATCGTTTATAATCGATCACCATCACGTGCGAACAATGCACGGGGGTCCTCAACTAACGCTCGCGTCCCTGCGGCAACAGTACTGGATCCTGCGTGCTCGCACGACAGTCCGCGCGGTACTCTACCGATGTGTTCGCTGTGCTCGCGAAGCCGCTAAAATACCAAACGAACTCATGGGGGATTTACCGGAACCACGTGTCAATTGCGTCCCTCGCGCCTTCATTAATAGCGGCGTCGATTACGTGGGTCCGATCGCCTTACGAACTAACCCCGGCCGCGGGCATAAATCTCACAAGACATATATCGCGCTTTTCATCTGCCTAACGACCAAAGCGATACACCTAGAACTTGTAAGCGATTACTCCTCGGCGACATTTCGCGCGGCCTACCATCGCTTCATTTTGCGACGCGGTTTGCCAAAACACATGTACTCGGATAATGGTACAACATTCCAAGGCGCCGAACGCGAGATGTCAGAGGCGTATTCGCAGGCCATACGTGATCCAAACTTTCTAAACCGATTAAGTAGCGACAATACCTCGTGGCATTTCTTGCCTCCCGCTGCCCCGCACTTCGGCGGGCTTTGGGAAGCCGCGGTGAAGAGCGTTAAATATCATCTAACACGATGCGTGGGAAATCATACTCTGACGTATGAGGAGTTAACCACAGTGCTTTGTCGCATTGAAGCGTGCCTGAATTCTCGCCCGATCGCCGCTTCGTCTGATAATCTGGACGATTATACCGCCTTAACGCCAAGGCACTTTTTGATCGGGACACCTCTTATAGCGCTACCTGAGCCGAACGTACTCGAATTAAACGAACAGCAACTGTCCCGATGGCAGTTAACCCAGCGCATCGCCGAAGGTTTTTGGAAGTGTTGGCAGAATGATTACTTGCAGACCCTTCAACAACGCCCGAAGTGGCGAATCGCGCAGAGGTTGGCCCGCGTAGGCCAAATCGTATTAATCAGAAATCCATTGGCTCCACCGTGTCAATGGGAGCTCGGGCGTATTCGCGAATGTCATCCCGGCGCCGACGGCTTGACGCGCGTCGTGACGGTTCAAACTAGTCGCTCCGAATACAAACGACCACTCACAAAAATCTGCTTTTTACCGGTACCCATTAATGAGGAAAGCGATAAACATTCCGTCACGGCGGGCGGCACCATTAACGCTACAACGAAGCATGTTCGGCTATAACAACCATGTCTGCGAGTTCTCTATATTCTTTGTTCATTATTGTAATTCCGCGGATAAATTTACGCCTTATTTTATTTTTGTTTATACATAATCTCACTATGCTGCGATTTGTCATCGTGATTCTGTGTTCGGCTGATTGTACCTCACATATACCGTCTTCGAAATTAAAATTTATGTCTGTAATTATAGCATTTCGAATGTATATTCGAGGCGGGCGGTATGTTTCGAACCACCCGTTGGCTGCTCGTTAACTCAATATGTACACGCTTCGCAAACGCGGCAATCATTCAGCGGTCACATGTCAACAATAATAAGAAGTGGTATTATTTCCCCGCCATCGCGACCGTTGACCTTCTCAGTAGCGCGTTTGGGGAAAAGAGCTCAGATCGCTTCGAGAAGTCGTTCGAGGTACACAAACCAATTGTTCAGTTCCGTATCAGGTGAAACAAAAACGGCAGCGAGAGTTATTGCAAGATAAGGCGTTCAAATCCCCGCAGATTGAGCGAAAGGGGATTGTTGTTGATCATAGTTATTAAGGAAATTAAATTTGAGTGTTAGTAAAATTTGGAGTTTGCCTTACAATTCCTTGACCACCGAGCCTTCCCGCCAAGGCTGTATCAGCCGCCGTGCTCACAAGCACACAATACTTGTATTCGGTTTGTTCGTTTTATTTAATTATTATTTTAACTATATTTATTTTTGTACTCTGTGTTGCTGTATATTAATAAGAAATTTTGCTGAATTAATATTTCTTTTAATTAAAAATTTTTAAATTAAAAAAAAAAAAATTTTTTAATAAAAAAATGTTAATTTATGTTTCTTAAATTAAAATTAAAAAATAATTAAATCATTAGCAAAATGAAATAGAAGAAACGTAAAAATATATAGTTTCAGAAACAAAATTATATTGCATTTACATATAAAAAAATTAATAAATTACTTTTTTTTACATATTGGATCCGCTATTTTAGTAATTTTAAATTTGGTAATTTTTAAGTTTAGATTTGAAATTACTGATTCAAAAAATTTATAAATACCAAGTTTTTTATTGATTTTCTTTACAATTAATTGAGTTACCGATTTTTGATCACTTTTTTTAAATTTTGCCCACTGTGCGGCGGTACGTTCGCCCTCTGATTAACATTGAAGATCCTTCGAATTGAATGGCTGACTTTCGCGATTGCTAGACTATTTGTTCCGCTCTTTTCACGCGAGTATTATATTATAGAGTTGCCGCGCACTCGCCGTGGGTACGATTCGTGTTATTTCGCGAACCGAGAGTAATGCGATATTTCGCATATTAAAAGAAGTCGGCGTCTTTGTCAAACGCTTAGTGACGTCCGTTCGCTTCATGTAGTAAGTATCGTTGATCCGGCGGATATTTTACGGAGTCAACTTATTTCTTTGTATTATATTTTTGTTATTGATTACTATTTTGTAAAGGCGATTATTCGCTAATTCCTAATGTTCTCATTACCGAGATTATATTTCTTTTGATCTACTTTCTTTTGTAATCGGACAGTTTTTCGATTTACTTTATATTATTTTCTGTATTATATTTCTTTTTTTTTATTGTAATAAATCGGAGTCTTTTTATCTTATACGGTCGCGTCTTTAGTATTTTATGTCTCTTTGTGCCACACACCTCTGTACCGGTGATTAGAAATATAATTCTCGCGCCTATTGTGAATCAGCGTATTAGTAATTCTCTCGCGGCCATCACACCCTGTCTTTCTACCGTTAGGTGAGCAGGCCCGTTGCGGAACTTCAGGCCGGACTTTTTCGTTATTCCGTGTGTCGTGAATTGACACGTGAAAGATCGTGTCTGGCACCCAAAAATTTAAGTAATTTCGCGTATCCATCGGCTGGCGTTCTGCTGCGGCACACGCAGAACGACCACCAACTTAGTTCCCGCGTTTGATAATATTTTTTAAAGAATAAATAATTTTATTCTCTTCTCTTCTTTTTTGATGACGACCTCTGCTCGCCGCATTTACTCCGGGCGAGAAAAGTCGTTGCAATAAATATACATTTATTGTTCCCTCTTGGGTTACAATTAACATACTCTTTTACAAAAATCATAAGACTTACACAAACTTACAAAATTTTTACAAAAATTTAGACAAACTTATTCTAACCTAACCTAACTTATTCTAAATTTTACCTACTTATTTTAGAGAGTTGAGCATCCATTCCGGGTCGCCCTTGAGGCCCTCTCCCTTTAGCTTCCGCTCAATCCCCTAACACCACACACATCTATGCCGCATAAGACTTTTGTTTCTCTTGCCTTTGAATATTCTCTTTATTCTTCTTTTCTTCCCTCGTCAATTCATTCTTCCATCCATCCCTCCTCACTCTTCTATCTCCTCTCCTTTTTCCTTTCTTCTTTTCCTTCTCTCTCTCTCTCTTTCTCTATCTTCCTCATTCACTATTCCCCCTCCCCTCCTTCTCCTAAAATCTCTGTCACTATCTCCTGCCAACTCCTTTCCTTTTCACTGCCTACCCTACATCTTTCCCATACATGTTCTCACGACTCTCTTCTCCACACACCCTGCATCTTTTTTTTTTCAGTCTCTTCCCATATCTACTTCCTAACACTTCATTTCCCAGTCTAAATCTCGCTATCCTGTTCCATTTGCTTTCCCCCCATTCCTTTCTTAAGTACTTCGGTACCCCCCTTCACTCTAACCTCTTTATATCATTTATTATATCTTGATCTATCTATTATCTCCTCTATCTCTTTTTTGCTCTTCTACGTCTCTTTTTGTCATTTCCCCGTTCCATCTCTCATTTTCTCTATTCTTCTTTTCGACCTTCTCTTCCATCCTCTTTCTGAAAAATCCTCTCTCACCTTTTTCCAATCCGACCCTCCTTTTTCTTCTTTTGCTCTACCCTTTATCTCCTCCCAACATCTTCTCGCCAACCTACTTCCCTTTTCTTCTTCCATTTTCTTCTCGAAGCTCTACGCTCTCTCCTTGCTCTCGTCCTCAATTTTTCTTTTTTCAGCTCCTCTCTTACCATATAACCCGCGTCCTTCTTTCCACCCTAACATCCATCTTAGGTATCTTTCTTCTAACCTTTTCATTCTTTTTCTTTCTCTTCACCTCCATATTTCTATTCCGTAGTTCATAACCGTCCAAACTAGTTTGTCAAATAGCCATACTCTTCTTCCCCAATTTTTTCCAAATCTCCTTTTCCCTATTCCCCACACAACATAACTACTGCTGCTTTTCTTATCCTCTCCTTCATCTGCCCTTCCTGTCCTCCATTTCTCTGTAGTCTGTAACCTAAGTATGTGAACTCTTTTACTTCCTCCATTCTCTCTCCTTTCCATCTCCACTCCTTTTTTTCCATCTTCCTCCTCCTTTCCTGAACCTCATAATCTTTGTTTTTTCGTTTAATTCTAGCTCCTTCTTCTGTAAATACTCCTCCAATTTCTCTATCATGCTTCTCAACTCTTGGGCAGCGATTCTCGGCCTCCAAATCATTAATCAGGGGTTGAGAAGCACCTTGGCCGCAGGGGGAGTTCATAATTAATTTAACATGAGCATTTTTCTCTGCGGTTGACAAAATCAGAAACTGGCGGGTGATTGACAAGGAGACCCTTTCCGACCATTTCTATATTTGAATGGACATCATCCGCCGCGGGGTGCTAAACCGCGCCCAGAGGAGAGAACCCAGAAGATGGGCTCTACGCAAGTTAGACCCTGATAAGTTGGTGGCAGCCATGCTCTCGGCCACCTGGCCCGCGCTAACGCGCCACAGAAAATAGGGACCAGGTGGCTTGGCTCGGGGAAACCATCGCAAATGCACGCGATGTAGCTATGCCCTAAGTCAAACCGAGACCGCGGAGAGCGGCGTACTGGACGGAAAAGATTGGCGACTTGAGACGCACCTCCGTCCAAGCCAGGCGCCGTTTTAAAAGTTAAGGAGACGCGGTCTCGATCTTGATGACAAGAGCGTGGCTGAGGCGCTCGAGTGCTACAGGTTAGCACGTAGCGCTCTGAGCGCCGCCATCAGAACGGCAAAGGCGAAGGCCTGGACGAACAAATCCAGGTCCTCAATTTGGACCCTTGGGGGTGTCCTTACAAAATAGTTATGAGAAAACTAAAGAGCTAAACGCCCCCCGTGACGGAGGTACTGGACACACCTATTTTAGACTGTCTTATCCACCCTCTTCCCGCTGAGAGGGAGGATTCCGGAACTTTACGTTAGGGAGCCTTTTCAGTGAGAGGAGAGCTATGAGGCTATAAGGTGTCCAGTCCGAGACAGAATCGCCAAGAGATTAAGACTCACGGAAACAAGGCCCCTGGACCTGATGGCGTTTCTGGAAGGGTCTGCCTTGCAACACTTATCAGGACCCATTCGGCAACTCTTTTCCGATTGCCTGCGGGCAGACAAATTTCTCCCAGTCTGGGAGAGGCCAATCTGGTTTTTTCTCCCGAAAGGAGGCAGGACGGATGAAGCGCCTTTCGCGTACAGACCTATTTGCCTGCTGAACGAGGTTGGTCAGCTCTTTAAGCTTATTATCGTGGACCGCCTCGTCCAATGGCTAAAGAAAGTGAGGCCGGACCTCCACGGGGAACAGTACGAGTTCTGCACAAACAGATCTACCACGGACGCGATTTTACGCGTGCGTGGTTTTGCGGAATCCGTGACTGAGGAGGGCGGGATGGTGGCAGCAGTATCATTGGATATTGCCAATGCGTTCAACACCCTACCTTGGGGAAAGGTGAGGGACGCCTTAATACGTCATGGCGTCCCTCAATACCTTGTGGAGGTCACAAAGGTCTACTGAGAAAGGAGGCTACAGTACCGGACAAAACCGGTACTGTGCGCGGAAAGACCATGCATTGCAGTGCTCCACAGAGGTCCGTCTTGGACCCCCTACTGTGGGACATCGCATATGATTGCGTTATCCGTTCTGCCTTGCCCCGCGGCGCTAGTGTCGTATGCTATACAGACGACACTATTGTCCTTGCACTATTGGGAGAACGACTGGGGGGACGCGAGGAGATCGGTGGAGATCGCGATGGCATGTGTGGTGCGCTCGATTAAGGATCTGAGTCTGAAGGTGGCTCTCCACAAAACGGAGGCTATCTTTTTCCATGATAGCTCCCGTGGGAGGCCGCCAAAGGCTCAGATAATAATGGATGGCATCTTCGTCCAGCTAGGGTAGTCAAATATGAAATACTTGGGACTCTGGCTGGACGGCACTTGGAGTTTTGGCGATCATTTCAATCGTCTGACTGGCAAGATTGAAGGAATAGCCTGCTGCCTAGCCTCGGTGGGCCAGACGATCGATTACATTGGCTGTATGCAGATACGATTAGCCTTCTATCCGCCAGTGTGGGCGGGCGAGGCGATGGCTACCACTCGTATTAAAATGTGCTGCGTAGAGCACAAAAGATGGTCGCCATTTGCTTCGTCCGTGGCTATCGTACCGTGGCGCATGCAGCGGGTCCGAGGGCTTGTTAGAGCCCAAGCCCGACGACAAATGGTAGAAGAGTGTTTGGGTAACATTCTCCCATCAAATTCGGGCAGAAGAGTCGTCGGAGCCGTAAGGTTTATACTGGAAGAGTGGGTTGACAGGCCTCACGGCAGGATGTCATTCTATATGACACAGGTGTTCTCCGGGCATGGTTGCTTTGCACCACGCGGTGCCACTACAGCGTGGAGGACAGAGACACGGCGCAGTACACACTGGAGTTTTGCCCAGCGTGGGCAGAAGAGCGCCGTGTCCTTGTGCAAAAAATCGGGAACGATCTATCGCTCCCGGCAATTGTCAGCAAGATGCTGGAAAGCAAAGAGAATTGGAATGGCGGTGGTCTTCTTCTGCAGCAAAGTGATGCTGCAGGAGATTGCTGAGAGAAGAGAAAGAAAGGGAGAGGCGGGGAAGCGGAGAAGACGCCGCCTCGACCCTGAAGCCCAGGAAAAATGAGACCCCACCTGCTAGTCTAGACGGGGAAGAGCGCGAGATTGTGATGAGGGGATGGGCGACGGGGCGCGCGTAAGAAGAAGGAGGAGGCCGCTCCGTCGTTCGGATGTCGATTGGCCTTAAAGGGAGAACATTGGTTCCCCCGAGATATGCATACGGGTTTGAGTCTAAGGGAGGTAGGAAGGACCACAGGGGAAACTTATTCCCATCGCATGTGGCCCTTTCCTAAGATGATGTAGAAATCTTGGGCCCGGGGGGGGGGAGTGTGGTCGCCTGCTCGCTCGCCGGGCGCTCTTAAGAGTGTTGCGGCGGAGGAGCGGAAGCCAGCACCCCCGGCTTGGCCGAGAAACCCCCCTCGGGGAGTGTCTCGGCGAGGGGCTCCGGAACTGCGGCCGAATCCCGACTCCACGCCAAGAGGAGGCGGCCGCAGTTCGGAGTCTCATTGAGAAACACAGGGAAGTCGAACCCACTTTAGCCTCCCATTGCACATGTTCCCCCACCGGTAGAAGGTGCGACAGCCCATTCTGTCGGGAGCTCTAAGGCTCTCGGCTGAAGGAACCACTGCTGTAAAAGAGGGTGCTCCCTTTCTGGAGGCAATTTTACCTTTAGGGTGCGGGGGGTCGCAACCGGAAAGGCAGAGGGGCCGCGGTTCGAACGGATGCTCTCGAACCGCCCCCTTGTATCCACTTTTAGGGAGGGCGCGGTGTGGGGGTGTGGTCCCCTTGCGCCGCGAAATCAGAAGAGGACGGCCGCCACCCCCTTCATAGGAGCAAAGGGTCCATTCGGTGGGAAAGGTTTGATGGGATGCCCTCCGGTAGTCATGCAAATGCTTGTTCCCGAAGGGCTTCCAATCAACCACCCGGATCAGGCCACCATGGAGGCTTTAGGGCGGTACTTCTGGTGGCCTCTACCAAATGTTTTTGATTATCCTGGTAGGGGCGAGAGGAATCCCTCATAACCTATGTCCCTTCCTCGAGAACGACGAATTCGGCAAGTAGGGGGTAACGCGTGCAGCCAATTAGAGCTTTCTGCGATTTTCCCTACTCGCGTAACAATAACGCAGACAGTTACTTAAATAATTTTTATAATACAGTCTTTTACACCTTATTTAATTATTATAATTATTGTGTAATTATGTAGAATGTCTATTATTCTTGATAATAAAAATTTTAGTCGATACGTGACAATTTTTAAAGAATTTCAAAATTTGACGCAAATATAATAATTTACAAAATAATTAATATTATTCTATTTTAATTTCAAAGTCTTATTTTATTTGAAATGATAATTTTTATTAATGCTTTATATGTCATGTTATGTCTCTAATATTAACACATTGATTTTTAATTCATTCTCGCATTATATTATTATAAGAATATACTATTGTAAATTGCAATTTTTAAATTTGATTATTTTATTTAATTATTAAATTAGAAAACAACAAACAAATCATATAATAACTGCATCTAACTCATTTTTGTAAAATAAATTAAAATAATAAAATAATTAAATTATATTTAACGAATTAATAAGTAGATAAAAATAAATAATTATTATTCTGATATAAATTTATAATATATAGTTAATTTTTATTTTTACTAAAGCTATATAACACAAAAGCGCGCGCTTTGCGCACGGTAAATATATTTTTACTTCGCAAATGTATATAATTTTAATACGCCGAATTTCAGTTATGTACATAACTCTAATTACCGAATTTCTATCATACATATCATAATTTTATAACGATACAGCCCGCGCCGCAAAGCTTGAATATACCTGTCTCAGTATATGAAATATCATATATAAAAGTACGTTCGGTTTACTACTTTTCTCCACGCGCGTGTTAATTAGAAATTACCGAAGAGTCACGAAGTAGTACGGAAAACCCCAATCGGGTCGGATAAAAAGCTCGCGAGAACCGAAACGACACATTCCGCACCAACCGTCTTAGGACAAAACCTCTCCGGAAAACGCAAAGAAAAGGCTGAGAACAAAGAGATCGGGGGTACCTGTCTCATATGGGTGCGTTCCCACTTCCGAAGCCGCTCCGAGCGTATCCTCACTGAACCCGCTCCTCGCCCTGTCCGCCTGTACGATCGGCCAGATATACCAGAGGTTGGGAGTTCTCCGCCTCTGTCGGGAGTTACCGCGGCCGATTGTATCCTCGAAACTAATAAACGGAATCCCCGCGACGCGAATACCCGGAATCAAACCTTGGCTTTGCCGAAGGAAGAAGAGAGCGGCTACTCTCTCTCTCTCTCTCATCTGCGCGCGCGGAGAGAGAGAACGGAACTCGCGCGCGATAATAACAACACGGGACCTTACCGCGCCCCGGACCGCGCCGCGCCCAGCAAAGGAAATAAACACGGCCGTGAGAAGTTAAAGGGTTGTCCCTTTAAATCCCGAATTCCAATCGCCGACGCGAAAATAAAAGGCATTGTCCGCGTTGCATTTAATGTCGCGTAATAATAATCGGCGCATTTATTCCAGCACCGGTTCATTATTCCGTCACTGATACCTGCACCGCCACCAGGATACACGCCGACCCGCACCCCACGTATTCGCACTCGCATATACATACGCATATTCATCCACGTCCATACGTTATCATACACGCGACATACATTTATACTGGCGTCCGCGTTCCGTACATACATCCACTCACACTTATACACATACGCTCTCCGACACCCTCACGTCACAATTTATACATCACATACACGCATTCGCACGCATACTAGGACACTCACACTGTTATACACGCGACATATATTTATACTGGCGTCCGCGTTCACCCGCCATTTACTCACGTTTATACGCATCATCGTCATACTCACGTCACACCTTTATAACTTTATCCACACATTCGCACATACATTGATACACACACACACACACACACACACACACACACAAGCATACACACCAGTGCACACAAACATACACTTGTATATAGAACACAAATAAACACTCGTTAAACTTATACCCCGCGTCGCACGTTTCTTGGATCAAACCTTTCCCGAACTTTGTGATCCCGATTGAGCGATCCGCCGCACCGGGAAAGCGGTCCGTTATAATTTATTTGCTGAATTTCTATTATAAACATAATTTTAATTTGCTGTATTTTTTTTACATAAATAATTTTAATTTTTTATTTTCTATTATGTTCATAATTTTAATTCTTGAATTTCTATTATGCACATAATTTTAATTCGCCGTATTTCTATTATATAAATAACTAAAATTGTATCTAATAGAAATTCGGTCAGTTGAATTTATGTAAACAATAAAATTTGTTGAATTAAAATTATAACGCATAATATAAATTCAAGAATACTTATGTATTGTACATAATAGAAATTCGGCGAATCAAAATTTAAAACATAATGGAAACGCAAGAATTAAAATTAGGTACACAATAAAAATTCAAAAATAAAATTATGTACATATAGAAATTCAGTGAATTAAAATTATTTACATAAAGGAAATACGACAAATTAAAATTATATACATAATAGAAATTGGATAAATTAAAATTTTTGTATTACACGTGCATCCAAAGTAGCACTTTTCGTGCCTGATTTCTGTGCCAAAAGTAACAAATTTAAAACGTCCATTCCAATGCATTATACACACCATATTAAACTCGACAAAACCGTGTTTAATAGCACATTTAACCCGATAAAACCTTGTTCAATGTATTCAACACGAGTTTCAAACGCCATCTCGCAGCGCACATACAAAAAACTGGCAAAACTACCGCCATTTCACGCCCTTCCAACACGCACCTAACCTTATCTGCTATTCATATATCAGTCTACTGCGTAAATCAGGTATTCAAAGTGCCACTTTAAATGCACGTGTAATACAAAATAGTATGTGTTGCACGTACGGAAGTTAGCTATTGTCTACTCGTGCGGGTAAACGCGCACTCGTGACCAATAGCCCAACTTTCCGTACTTGTAACACAATATATATAGATATAGAAATACGATGAATTAAAATTATGTACTTATGGAAATTAGAAATTCAATGAATTAAAAATTATGTACATAATAGAAAGAAGGATGTTAAAAAAGGTCGATTTCCCGACTATCGATGCAATCTAAAATTCGAGTTCCATGAGATCTATGAACCACTATAAGATGTAAAATGATGGCCTTTTTTCCTAGAGAAGTATTGAAAATCTATCAAAACTATTGAAAATAGCGTCATTCGATCGATCTGAAGACAACAAAGTCGACGACATGGATAAATTTTCAATTAAACCAACTTCTGATTAAACACTTATTAAATATTTAGTTTTTAAGATCAATAATGTTTTAATATCTGGATCGCAAAATTCAAGATTGCGGATCCAATATGGTGGATCAGTATTAAGAGAAACTAGATGCTAGGATGTAGTTACTTCCGAATAAAAGATCTGATTCTATATTCAAATACATTATGTTTTTTATTTTTTTATTTAAATATTTTTGTTTCATTGTTGAATAGAATTCTTTAGTTCTAACGTAAAGAATAGAGAATTATTAATATTTTCTATGTTAGAACTAAAGAATTTTTATTAATGAAACAACAATTATTTTAATAAAAAACTAAAAAACATAATGTATTTGAATGTGGAATCAGATCGTTTATTCGGAAGTAACTACATCCTGGCATCTAGTGTTTCTCAATACTGATCCAGCATATTAGATCCGCAATCTTAAATTTTGCGATCCCGATATTAATACATTATTAATCTCAAAAACTATTTAATAAGTTTAACAGAACTTGATTTAATTGAAAATTCATCCATGTCCTCGATTTTAGTTGTCTTCAGATCGATCGAATGACGCTATTTTCAATAGTTTTGATACATTTCAATACTTTCCTCAGGGTCTCAGAAAAAAAAAGCCATCATTTTAACACTTATATGGTTCATAGATACCCATGAAACTCGAATTTTAGGTTCCATTAATAGTCGGGAAATCGACTTTTTTTTAACATTCTCCTTT